TGGAGCACGAGACAGTTAATTTTAGTTGTCTTACAACATCCGCAACCTTGAATAATAGCACTACCATTAATCATCATAACGACTACACATTGCCTCCATGGTTTATCTCTTTAGCATGAAACCAAATTAATTTTGGCTGAGATATGTGGATCCATGAAAGTGGACCTAAGTTTAGGACCCACATGAAATTTATAAAAAAAGAATAGTGCCTCAAAGAAATAATGTGTCAAAGAGCATATAATCAGCACATTGCTCATGTATTATATTTAAAAACTTTGTATACTGCAAATGCAACATGGTTTGTTTTGTTTTCGACAGTAGCTTCTGATTTGGAAGGCAAAATGTTTTGCTTTGCATGTTCTTTAAGGCAGCCAAAGGCTTTGCATGTTCCACTCTTTACCAACCAATGTCATAAAACCCCATTCCGAACACAACTCCTGCTGTCTAGTGTGGATAGAACCACATCAGAAACACCCAAAGGCTAGAAAACATTCCCTTTTACTTTGCCAAATTCTAGAGAAGGCAACTTTTCATTAACATATCTGAGTTTATTAGGCCCACACTTCTATGTCAATTGCTTCTCATTCTTTTTGGAATAGACAGCAAGTATTTTTTATAAGAAGTATTTCTGATCAAGTTAGATAAGATTATTATAAATAACAAAATTCTTTTTTTTTAAGTATTTCATAAAATTACATATCCTAGAGTTTAATTCAAGATTATTGATTAAATTGAAACAATTTCGTACTAAAGTGATTTATGTGTTCGTCGGTAATACAGTTCTATGTTTCTTGCTCTATTGCTCTTCATATATTATTGCTGGTTGAATGTTGAATCAAGAGCAGGCAAACTGATTTGGACAGTGAATGGGTGCACTATATGTCAAGTTATGCAAGAATTGTAGTAATAATGTGATAGTATGATTTAGTGGTGTTAACCAATATAGGAGAAATGAAATCTTTAAGATGTCTAATCAGTTACTAATAATATAGTATTACTAGTTAGTCACACTATAAGAAAATTGCCACGTAGTGACACATACTCTATAGTGACATAATATGTGTCACTAAAAACTACTTTTACACGCACAATAAATATAATATATGTTGGTATATTGTTAAAAAAGTGTATGTATAGACTATAGTAACACACAAAATATGTTGTTAAATCTTATTCAAAATCAACACTAAAATTGTATGTAGCTAAATGTCAAATAGGTATATACCTACATATATTATAACTATAATGACATTTTTTGTATGTCACTATATGTAACATTTTTTGTAGTGCCATAGAGGGTATTTTGCCATGCACTAGCACCAATGACAAGTTTGTTTCTCTTGTATTTAGGTTTCAGTTGTAGCTAGAGAGGATATTATAATAATGCACCTTTATTTTTTTGCTGCTTTCCGTTTTGTTAAGGTTATCTTGGTGTTTATGATTATATCTAAAAATATATAAAAATGTGGAATGGAGGTAGTTGTTGTTGTGATGCATGGGACCACGAGTGGCGTTACCGGGGAACGATGGTGGACGGCCGTATGGAGAAGAGACAGATGGGAAGATTGGAGACATTAGAGAGAGAATTACGTGCTCTCCAATCACAACCACCATTCATCTCTATCACAAATGTCATGAGTCTATGTGTGTGTAGGATAGCATTAGGGTTGTCCTTCATGACCAACCAATTAAGTGGTTCAAAACAAAAAAGGGTTAGTGTCTATGAAGTGATGAATTAAGGTTCAAATCTTTATCAAGTCAAGTGTTCATATTTATATTTTCATATATTGTTAATCGATCATGATTAACTGATTTTTGATAGATGTGATCAGTCGATTATTGAGTTGAATGATGTTATATAATTAGAAAAAAAATTTGTTTTGATTTAAAATAAATAAGAACTTTTTATTTCAATTTTGAGAGAAAATTTCATGATATTGAAAAATAGATCTTAATTTATATTGGTTAATACTAATAATTTTAGCTTTTGTTATAATTTAAAAAGTGTCATAATTAAGATGGTAGCTTGTTTCTATTTAACTATAATTTCAATTATTGATTATAATAATTATGCTATTTAAATTGTAGAAATTGTATAAAAATAAGTTAGTATATACATCGAGATAAAATTGTTTCTTGAATAATAAATAAAGTGTGAAATAATAAGAAAGGTAACATTAATATAAGTTGGATATATTGTACGAATTTTGATCTTCTTATATATCAGTTTTGTTTAGTAAAATCTCATCCCTTACTTAAAAAAAAAGATAATCTAAGTAAAAATTTTACATTAGAGAATCCATTTCCATAGTTGCACATATATAAGTAGAATCACTTGTTGAGTATTTTGATGATAGAATTTTCTATGAAGAGAAAAAAGTATTTAATATCAATCATATGTTAATATAATTGCTTTTAAAAGAAAATACAAGAGAGAAAAAGGGAAAAAAAAGTTTTGCCCTAGAAAGAATACAAACACCTATGTTGAAACACAATCAATTTAATTTTGTGTGATGGTGAGTTTCAACAACACACAGAAGGTGAGTTTTATTCCATGATGGCAACTAGTGAAAGTACTAGTTATAGTAGCTAGGATAGTCTCCACTTTTGGTGCTTGGTCCCTGTAAATAGTAAAATTGTTAATTAGTACATGGTAGCCACTATTTAGAAAATAGTGTGGACCTCCGTTTTCCCTATAGATCCGAGTGTCCCCATTTCGATACTGGGGAACAATATTTACTTAGTAAAAAGGTTTCTCATTGATGAAGCAGATCCAATCCAATCCACTAGATGAGTTTCATATTAATTGCTTCGTTCAACCAAATTAATAAATTAAACAAAAGTTATAGCCCCTCACACCCCCACTTTTAAATAATTAAACGAATTCCTTAGTGGCAGCAACCAACATGACATTCTTAATTTTTCAGCTTCTATGACCTCTATAGGCACAACCTTACTTCAAGAATCCTTCATCTATCACAGTCACAGGTCAAGTGCTATGCACATGCACGCAAGTGGGTGTTGTACTTCTAGCATAACTTAAATGAAATCTGATTTAGATTCATAAGCTATGAGGACTTTCATTCTAGCATGCTTAATCAGTTCGCGAAAACTTCAACAACTTCATCTTTTTTATGGGGTTATTAACTTGCAAATAATTATAGTATTACTTTTTCATTATGTGTTAACAATTATGAGTCTTATTGATTAAAGGAAACTCCATTAGATGGGGTTTTCATTATATAGAGTGTCCATAGATATTTCAATAAGCAATTACCTAACCAATATATCCAAGTTGAACTAGTTTGGACCATGTCACACATCCACAGAATCAGAACTAAAGATGGGAAAATAAAAACTGAACATGAATTGGAATCCAATTTCGAATTTCGCATCCTTATTGGGCAAGGACAGTGCCTAATTCCCTCCCACCTAAGGGGTTTAATAAATTGAAAGAGACCTAATTTCGGGATCACGTGATTATGGCATACAAATGTACTGTCATCAATTAAAAAGACATCTTAAAACAAGTTGGCTGAGTGAAGATCAGACTTTTTCTTTTCTTTCAGAAATTCTATTTCTACGATTACTTTTATAATTGAGAGGGAAAAAAAAAGAAAAATATTAAATTAATTAATTAATAATCTAATTGACAGAGATAGAAATCAATAAATTATTAAAAAAAAGTAATATAAAAAGAACACATCAGAATAATATAACTAAAGCTAAAAAAAGATGAATTGAGGAATATAAATATATATTTTTATAGATATGACAATGAATACTACAACGCAAGCTTAGAAAGAAAAAAAAGTGAGAAGACAAATGAGATTAATTTTGACATGATTATGCTTCTCTAGAAGATGGAACAGATTCCATATTTGTATTGTATCCATCTAACCAAAGCTTTTCCCATGTAATAGAGAGGTGAATTGTTATGAAAACTATTCCATTTCTACCAAAATCATCCTCCTTTCTTTCTAGTTTCTACGAATCAAATTACATAGCATCCATTGTTTTGGTTTGATGGAGTTACTGCGGTGATAACAATATTAAATTCCACCACATGGCACCTTGACTTGAGTAATCATTTAGGGCGACGTATGCTATCGATTTTCTGGACCAGAACCTAGCATCTTTCATAGACCAAATCAAATATCAGGGTAAAAGAAACCCTAGTCTTGATGGACTAAACTGATGGAAATCTATCGAGTAATACGCATCTCCCGCAAGTTCATACACGTCATTTTGGAGCAATGTTTAGGACACGTTAATTTTGGAAATTTTAACTGTTTAGAGTAAAAAAAATGTTTGTTAAATAGCTGGATTATGTAAAAGCTTTTTATTTTTTAAAAGAAATTTATTTTCACAAATGCAAAAATTTGAAACTGATAATTATTTCCTATAATTAATTATATTCAATAATACATATAATTAACTTTTGAAACGATCTACTTTTTTTAGTTATCCCAAACACGCTTATTAGTCAACTATCAAACCAATTTGTCTAGTTATTCATTTATAGTAATCAACTACTTGACTACTCATAATGAAAGCATATTATGAGAAGATAATTGACTATTCACTTGTAATAATGTATGTAGCGTGTGTGAATAAAAGTGACTGGTAAAAGATATTATGAGAAGATAATTGAAAGCAAATCCGGGCGAAGTTTATCAAACACGAATTTATTCCATGGTACAAAAGCAGCAAAAAGGAATTGAGGAATTTGTCCCTAAGCATTGATTAAGAAATTAAAAATCAAAATAAAATATTAAAAAACAATTTTGTTAAAGAAATAATTAAAAACTCAAATGTTTTTTTTTATTTATTAAAAATCACCTTATGCACATATTAATAACATTAAATGTTATTTAGTAAATAAGATAATTTAATGAAGAGCAAGTATTTCGAAAACAATGTCTTTAAGGCACCACTACATAGCAAGACCTGCAAGATAAATATAAACATTAAATGACCCCAATAAATCAAACCAGTCGTTCAAGAATTCTCTTCTTTTTCAAAGAAAAATACTTATACCAAAATAAGGAGCAATAAAGCCAGGTCTCCATCAGGTTTCCATCGCGAAAATCACATATTCACTGTTGGCCACTAAACACATTCATCCCACTAATACAAACAAGTCACACAAATGTATAAGATTCACACACTTGATTACAGCAGCACTAATGCACAACATGAATTGCCTAATAATAAAAGAATTTTTCATGTGGAATAATTCCCGATCAGCAGCAACTCGTCTTGGTGGGAAAGAATGTTGCCCAATATTAACTTTAGAACCCATGAAAGATGCCCCAACTACTTTGCAATTAGCCTCAAAAGAAACATCTTACATAGGAATAACTGATTTACAATGAGGAAGGTCTCAACTGATTGCACAAAATGTCAGCCAGTATTTGGTGACAGCTTTTATGATTACATATTTACACGAGATTCCAAGATGTTTGGAAAAGAAATGATATATGAATTTTGTGTTTTACATCGTTCCTTTGACAAGTGTATTCACCCTTTTCCTACAGCTTGTGGATGTCTCTCATGATATACATAGCCAACCAACCTCACTGTTTTAAACAGACAACTCGCTCATCAGGATCACACACAAAAATTGTTCCCAAGGCTTTCTTTGCTTCAGAAAATAATAACACTAAAAAATCAGGTCCTTGGCTTTAAATGATGACCAATAATTTTAAAGTACAGCCAGGCATTCATTTATTTACCAGAAAACGATTGGGAGTGTGGAATCTTTGCTCAGGAAAAAGGATTCAATAAAAAATAACTAGAGACAAATTCTGGCTACCTGTTCATTTTCACCATCCTCCTTCGAAAGAAATAAGTGCCAAAAGCAGATAGAACATGATACCTCATACACGGCTTCGAGCCTTTTGAGATCGAGGAATTGCCAAGACAGCTATGAGTCCACTGATAAGGGCTGAAACAGCTGCCACAACAAAGGCTGGGGAGTTTCCTCCACCAAATAGTTGATCCCACGGTCCACTTCCCAGGGACACTATTATCTGTTTAAAACATGATAAATATGTATTTCAGTAGCTCCAAAGACGCAAACCAAATACATAATTTTGACTAATAATTTTTCACTTATAGAACACAACACCATTTGATTAGATCTACATATACAGTATGTTTGGAACAATAAAATAATGTGAACAGAATTGATATCTAAATAAAATTTTGTTTGCGTAGTTATAAAATAGGAATTGATTTCATTTTGAAACCTTTTGCTTAAATTGTGTCTGTAAAAGTTCACCCCAATTTGCGCTCATCAGATTGGTGATTTTATTTTACCTATTCTAAGTATGAGGTGTTTCAAACATGAGAATTGATTTGCAAATCAATGCAAAATCTATTTCTTGATTGAATCATCATTTAGTCCTTGAAGTTGAAAAACAACGTCAATTTAGTACCTAAAATTAATATGATTCTAAAATAGTCCCTAAAATTGAAGACTGTCAGTCAAGTTAGTTCCTATATCACCCCAATCAACTACTGGCGACAAACACGCTAGTGCAGCATGTTAAGTGCCTGAAATTGTAAGGCATTGCCAACTTAGTCCACGGAATTGTAGGGCATAGCCAACAATTGCCATGTCTGATACTGTTAGTTAACTAAGAGTGGTGGCAGACTAAGTAACCAGATGGTCTTTTGGAATTTTAATAATTTTCGAGACTAAGTTAACAGTCTTTTGTAGTTTTAGGGGTAAAAATGAAAATCCCCTATCTATATTTTAATCCAAGGGTGCCAAAGGGAAAGAAGCAACAACAAACGATACTCATGCCAACTTTTTGGAATAATCTAGTGTATAATGGCTGCACTTTTAAAAGTGCTTCGCCTTGTTGACAATGATAAGAAAACCAGCCATGAGTTCTATTTATGTGGAAAAGGCTAAAGAAGCTAAAATGAATTCATTTGAAAACAATGAAAGCAAGTATGCAGAAGCGTTTGAAATTATTGATAAAAGGTGGATCTAACTTCATCATCCATTATATGCAGCCGGTCACTTTCTTACCAACAGTTATTGTTCGCTAATTCTTTCATGGAATTTGATTTTGAGTAGTTAAATTGATTATACACATGCATTGAGAGGTTGGTGCCTAATGCAAAGGTGAAACAAAAGATTCTTGAAGAGCTACCCATTTATAAAACCAGTGGTGCCATGTTTGGAGGTGATTTTGCAACTCAACAAAGGAAGACTCTCCAAGTGAGAAAAGTTTTCTCGATTCTTCTAACTTTTAAAATGTTATATTTATTATTGCAATTTGCAATTGGTGTATGACAAATATAATCATGTATGTGACAAATATAATCAAGCACTGCTTCGAAGATATAATTATAGAGATGAAATTGATCCAATTTCACTCAATGACATTGATGAATGCAACAAGTAACTTGTGGGCAGATGGATTATGACGATAGGAATGAGAGGGTGTTTGAGGATGAAAAAGATGATGTTAATCGGGATGTTTTTGACACTTTAGGAATTGGACAGCCAACAACATATGCTAGGTAGATGACTAAGAAAACAAAGGAACCCATTAGTGTTCACTAGCGTTGCAGATGCGACACCTAAGACAAAAAAAGGTCAAATAAGAGCATTTTCATCCCTTAAAAGAAAAGAATAAACAACTGAAATTAAAGATAATGCAATCTTGAAAGAATCTGAAAAGGAGTTGGAAGGGATTGATTTTGAGGACTCATAAGGAGAAGTAGAAAGATATGCCTCACCATTAGACAACGAGAATGATGATTACATTGGGGGAAGGGCGGAAGAAAATGCATCAATGTTTTCTTGATGTTTTGAACTTTTTTTATTATGTATTGAACAATTTAACTTTTGAGTTAATATTATATTAATGTTTATCCAGCTTAATTTTTTTTTATATACAATTTGTTATTTTCTTCTATTTTCCCACACAGTATCTGGCTATCCGCAATATGATATAGCAGAATTTTAGCTTTTCCCAGATTTTCCACCATCCGTGATTAGCAACACTGATTTTTTTTCTAACAAGTTCCAAATGAGGTACTGTAATTAATTGCTAAATCTATTCACTTCAACAAAAAGGACATCCTGTCAAAATCCAATCAAATCAAATTCATATTTTTTTTTTACTCAAACACAATGGCAATAAGTGCACTTGTATGCTAGTGGAATTCTTTCAAATTGGGCTTCTTTCAAATGCAAAACAATGGACCAAAAATTTAACAGTTTCTGACCAAAAGTATTTGTATGCAAGTGACTTCATAATCTATGTATACCAAAAATCTGCCAGTTTCTTGAAATATGATATCGGGGAGAAAACAGAAATGCACTTTACATTTTTATTATATCCATGTGACTGTGCAAAAATGTCATGCTGGTTAAATTTACTTTGATCCCAATAATAGCTATTCTCAGGATGTGGGACCATTGCTTTATCAAGTGGCATACAGCTGCAACATGCCACATGACTCGAAGATAACATATACTCCCTTCAGTCCTTATTATAAAACACTTATAACAAAATTATATAAACCAATATAAATAGTTATGTTAGTTAATTTTATTGATTATATAAAACAAAATCATGATATACCAATTTTATCCTTCTTACTTATCATTAAATTGTCATGAGAAAGGTGAAGATATTACTCTATATAGAAGTTTATGCACCATAATTGATAATTGGAGAGTTCAAGACATGAGAGAAAATATTTATTTATCAAATTCTCTTTTCATTATTCAACTGCATGAAACAAATATACTTACAATCTTTAATAGAGGCAAAAGATGAAAAATAGAATTAATAATTTATAAAAATTGTAAAATGCCTTATAAAAAGAAGGACCGTTATTTTCTTCCGAATTGTGTATTATAATAAGGACCAAAGGTAATATTAAATTATAGAATTAGACTAAGTTTAACAAAAATCTACTGACTACTAAGATTATGCTTTACACTAGGTTGGTACATACATCAAATTAAAGGTAGTTTTGACTTGAATCATATATATTCAAAAGAAGAAATACCTGTGGGATCACTATTGCCAGATTTAGGACACCCATTGATAACCCTGTAAGAACCAACAATCCATATAAATAAATCCACAGACACATCTTCAAGAAGAATAAACAAGGCAATGAATAGAAGCCCACCTTGGCCAAGTCCTAGTGACTCAATATGCGTGGAAATTAAGGCATATGGAACACTGTAAGTTATCTGTAAATAGTATAACCAGATTAAATTAATCAAACAGTATATATAATTTCAATTTGTTCACTACATTTGGGATCATTTCCAAATTTGCATTTCTGACACCACATTATCCTAAAAAAAATAAAATAAAATAAAATGAATCATTAACTAGGACTGCACCCAAAAAATGAGATTATACAAGATAGGAAAGTTTGTTCTAAAGGATATTGCATAGCCAAAGCAAATCAATTAACACAATTGATAATTTGATATGCATTAGCCACATATTCAATGTTGATAGGAAAGGAACAGTATGCTTTCAGCAGTAAAATAGGGGTACTTACAGCCAGTGGAAACCCAAGAATGGTAAAGATAACCAACGCAGCAATCACAATGCTAGCTGGTGGTAGATCTTTGCCTACATAACCCATGCTATTTGCCACATAGGTTACTACTAGCATTGCAAGAAAGCAAACAGCCATCATAATATTGGAGATTCCCCACACAAAACCAGCCCCTCTCTTCCTGCATAGCCTCTCCATGAACAATGATGTTAATGCAAGAACAACTGAATTAAGTAACAAACCAAGTGCTCCCATTCTAACTCCAGTATCATAAACAAGGCCTTGATTTGGATCACCACCATAAATCTCTCGACCCATCCAATCGGTATCAAAGAGAGTAAATGGGAACCATCCAATCCATGTCAGAGCAGTAACAGACAGAATTACCCATACAGGGGTTGAAAAATATTTGAATGTCCCAAATAATTCCCACATGAAAGCTTCTTCTGCACTACCTGACTCCCCTGCCCCTGCTTCAGCATGGGCTGCCTCACTTGAATTTAGAGGCACTTCATGAGCTGCCATGATGCTGATATATGTTGTGACCGCAATGAAAGCAATGTCAAGAAAGAAAGCAGACTTGAGATTCGCACAACTAATTGTGCAAGCTGGGGAAAGCGCAAAAGTAAAAATCTTGTACCAACCACTGTATGATCCAGTTGCATAGCCAAGAATGTTACCGATGGCCATAAATAGTGAGTAATATGCATTTGCAACACGTGTCCTCCGAGGATCCTTGCCTAACATTCAAAAGAAGAGGAACTTCAATGTCTTGTTTGTTTTCCAAATTGATCACTTATTTTCATAAAAATGATGACAGACATGGTAAAAACATTTATATGTCCTAAGTAACAGATATAATTATTGAGGCATAGAAAGATGCATAATATCAGCATTTATTCAGACATTTAGGTCACTTTTGCAAAGCAATTTAGGTCATATGTGATCAAATTAAAAGATAATTACTATATCCTTATAATTTAGTTGAGAACTGTATTCAATAGTAAATATCAAGCAGAAGTTCGTATGGGCAGTGGACCTATGGTTTCAATCAATGCTGGACTACTTTGTTTTCAAATAAGCTTGTTGTATACCACCTTATCAGTCACCCCATGTGATGTGCCATGGGAGAATGCAACTATTGTTCAGTTACTTTGTTATCAGTTATGAATAGTTAGGTATAAATTATGTATTTGCTAGTTTGACTAGTTGGTAGCAGTTTATTCTTTCCTGTTGCAATAGTTTACATTCTATGTATACACACTTGTTACAAGATGTGTGGAAAACATTTTCTCCTCGTTCAATTTTCTTAGACATCTTTTAAATAGGATCATATTTATTCAGTGTTTATATTTATTCAGTGTAGTGGAATAGAAGTTTCAGTAGCTCAGGCTCTTATCTAATCCCAGATTCAAGATGGTATCATAACCTATCATAAATCTAATTGGATTACTCTCAAGTCTCAACTAATCAAGAAATCTAACTGCCTCCAAAATTTTCCCAATGCGATATTAAATAAATAAAACTAGTCTTACACTGTCCAATCCTATGTGTGATGGAAGGGTGTTAAGATTCTACATCGCCTATAGATATGGCCAGGGTAGAGCTTATAAAGGCATGGCCAATCTTCACATCATGAACTTGCTTTTGTGGTTGAGTGAGGCTCATCCCAAATTCAAGAAAAACCAAGGATAACTAGGCATGACGGATGAAGAAGAAACAAATAAATTATTTCTTCCTCATATTTGTTATTTCTCCCAATAGAATCATCTTTTAAAAAAGAAAGAATGAAAATCTTTCATTTGAGAAAATCCTAATAAGAGTAATGACCTCCTAAAAAAAGGGAAACCTCCCAATTTATCCATTTGTCTATCTCGAAAGGAAGCAACACAAGGATTGCCACCCAAAAGGAGCCCCCAACAAGTAAACAGCCTCCGGAGAACTTGACATTCAGCCAGCAAAAGAGTAAAAACTTGACATTTGCAAAATTGGAAGCAGTTCCAAATTTGGCACCACAGTGAATATGCAATAAAAAAATTGCAAATTTGAAACTTATAAAAAAATTAAGTCAAACCAACAGCTCATAACCTAACAAGATAGACAATAAAACAAATGCCAACAAATAAATGATCATTAACTATATATAACATAAGGCTCAATCGAAACATGAACCAATGAATAAATATCAGAAAGACTATTGGAGACAGATACAAGGTGCAGCCACATTAATAAAAGAACCATGGTTTCAATTTTCAAATGCTTAGCAGTCAGCACTAATCTCTATATAATCTTAAATATACATAATTTATTTTGTTATTCTCAGCATACATTATTTTCTTCTTTCAACTTTTAATTGTACACATAAGATTATTCAGCGACTAAGTTTAGCTTTCAACAGACATAAGTTTCTTCATCTATCAAAGAAAAACACATAAGTGAGGCCGTTACTAAAGTAACAAAAAAAAAATCAGCCAGCATCCACAACCACGGGTTTCAAAGCATGAACTAAACAAATCTAGCAAAACAAGAAGCACAGAATGAAAATGGTAACACGCTGTCAATACAACGAGAACGCAGAGATAGTATACAATGTCCCTCAACTTTAATTTTGTTCCAATAGAGCTTCTTAGTTACCATCTTGACACAAACTACGAACAAGGTACAACTGCCAGACTTATTCCTGACACAAGACACAATTAAATCATCGCGTTTCACAGTTTACAGTCTCTGCATTCTCCGTAAAAAAAATCATAAAGTCGCCGATTCATTCAAAAAACAGACTACACAACTTTTCAAATTGAAAGCCAAATTTAGTATCTCCCAGAAGAAGGTTCGGTCAACTCCGGTCAATGGTAAATACGCACGGTGATTACCACGGTCAAACATGAATCAACTCAAATGCAAGATCAATGATCCATCGAGAGACATCCAAGTCAACCAGGTAACTCGATTTTCGATGAACTAATTGAATCGCATTCATAAAAGAATTAAATCAAAACACGGAATCGCGAATTGAAGAATCTGAAATCGGAGCTTACTAGTGAGATCACCGAGCAGGGCTCGACAGGGACCTTGCGTGACGTTGTTGGCGACGTCGAGGATCCAAAAGCCGATGATAAAGACGGCGATGGCGGCGGGGCGGTAGTCCTCGGTGTCGCCGAGGAGCCAGCCGATGTCAGCGGCGTAGCCGATGACGACAACCGCGACAACGATCGCAACCGCGCCGGCGAGGATGAAGGGTTTGCGGCGGCCGAAGCGGCTGGTGCAGCGGTCGCTCATGTGGCCCACCAAGGGCTGCACGAAGAGGCCCGAGACCGGCCCGCAGAGCCAGATGATGCTGGCCCATTGGTGCGGAATCCCCAGCTGCTGAACATACGGCGTCAGAAGAGATAACTGCAAAGCCCAACCGAACTGAATCCCGCTGGCCACCGACGCCACGCGCAGCAACTGCCGCAGCGACACACGCGCCCGAACCCCCGCTGACGTGGAGGCCCGTGCCCGTGCCCGGTTTTGCTGCCCGCGGTCACCCTCGGGATTCGGCATCACCGCACTCTCACTCACTCTCACGCTTCCCGTGCCTAACCAACTATATAACAGAATATCAAAGAGAAGAGAGTGTTCGAAGCGGTGGTTTCGCTGTGGTAGTGTGCAGCAGAAGCAAAGGTGGTGGTGCAGTTCAGGGCGATTCCGTTGTTGAGAGAAACAAATTTGACATCTTCGCCAGGTATGTTTACGAAACTACCCTCGCGTTTATTATCGCTAATTCTGCTTAGTGGGGACAAAACTTCAACTTGTGGATAAAACGACAAGAGATTTCGATAGGAACGGGTCGTTTTATTATCATTATTATTATTATTATTATTGTTTAGGTTAATTCTTAATAGGGATTAGGGAGGTAGTGTGTCACATAATGGAAGGGACGGACGGAAAAAAGGTGTAGATGGGTCGGCTAAACTTTCTCCTCTTTAGAGGATAATAAAATTGATTAGAAAAATGGGTCACTGATTAGAAGATTTTTTAAGGGTAGGATGTATCGTAAAGTGCTTGTATGGTATAGTATATAGTATATATATATATACGTATGGATCAAGTTTATTAATCATGAATTAAGGGATTATAGTTTCGTTCGTTTGTGGTCTCGAATATACTAAAAGGTTGCTATCATGGAGCATTCTTTATGGATTCGTGCTTGTCCTATTTCTTTTAACATATTTGTTTTTTTCTAAATAAATAAGGGCACATTTTTGTTTTTTTTTTTTACCGTATTCGCGTACGAAAGTCTTGGTGTATTCAAGTGTATCTATGTTTAAAAATTCTATTGCCTTGCGATTCACGTTTAGAATTGAAACAAAAAATTATTGGAGTGGGTTTACGGGTTTACCTCGTGTTAGTTAGGAGAGAGGGCACAAAATGGGGCCACGTCGCATGATTCAATCATTTTGGTTAATTGCATGACAGAAAATTTTGACTGGTTAAGGAATTTTTAGAACGCATGATGTCTGTGACTCTGAGAAATCTTTTTGCCAGGTTTGGAAAATGGAACATAATTTAAAAAAAAAAATAGATATTAAATTGTGAAAGATGCGAGTTATAATGTATATATGTGGGTACATAAATGCATCTTACATAGTCTTTGATTGGTACTAAAGTAAAGTCACGTGGCAGAATTTTTTTTTTTATTTTGTGGGGTAACGTCCACATGATGTAACGGTGATTTGAAGCTGGTTGCTGCATTTACTTTTTTGGAAAAAATAGATTCTAATTTGCAAACATGTTTCGTGAGCTGGGATGCTTTTCTTCCGAAGTTAAATAATGATTTTTTTTTTCTAATTTTGAGTAAAATAAAATCCAAATCAAATTGATCAACGATGAGTGAGTTGGTTGAATTCAGATTAATCATAAAGGTTGCATTTAAGATTACATGCATATTACTCTGATTTTCATTTGACTGGCCCTTGTGGCTTTCTCAATTATTATGGCACCAAATTGTTTTGTGCATTTTAAGTGTTTCATGTTACTTTGATTTTTTTTCCCCCATTTTTTTTAAATAAATACTAAGAACGTGTATATTTAAGTTACGTTTTTATTTGAGATTTATAAAAAAAAATTAAATACAAATAAATTAATACAAAAATCTTATAAAGTGAAACAAATGTTACAATAATATAATATAATAAACAGAATACATCAACTCGTTTAATTTTTTATTGTAATACATGTTATTGTACAAAGTGTGATATTTGCATGTAAATAAATACGGTAAAAATTTGACATTTGCATTTAATTTTGTTACGATTATATATAGGTTCTGTGACATTGAAAATTATATGTAATTTTTATACTGCATTTTTTATTTTATAATTTTATTAATAAGCTTTATTCAGTTTGAATTTTATTTTGGTAATTTTTAAGTTCAAACAAAACTCATTTAGAATTATAGGTACACTTAAATCATTTAATAATTTACATTACCCAAAGAAAATCAACATCTGACAAATTTAATTATTAGCTAAATTAATGTATTATATTTGTGTGTGTGAAAGAAGTTTTATAAATGGTAGTTAATTTACTTACCTAAATTAACTTATTATAAATGAACTATCATTGAAATTTGTTATATATATATACATATAAAAATTATTATCATTATTTTTATTTTATTTGTTTCAACTAATTTATCATCTTAAATAAAGTGACATAATATAAATAGATATATATCAAAATTTTGATGATTTCATGTTATAAAAAAAAATGATACTGAATGATTTCGTTGAATTCTTTTCAAAAGATTAGTATCCATTACTTTCAAAAGAAATGGACGTTGAGGCAATTACTTTAGCTTTTCATGTTTTATAATGTGTTTTTCAATCCATCAAAATTTAGTTAAATAAAATTATAATTTTTTAACATTAGAAATATTAATTTTTTTATTTTCAAATATCGTGATTATAAAGAGAGAAAAAATCAATTTTCTTTATAATTTTTGAAGTTTTACCAATTAAATATTAAATATTTTATTAAAACAATTGAAATAAAAAAAATTAAATGAGGAATTATGATAAAAAAAAATAATGAATATGAAAATAAGAAATTTAATAAGTTACAAAGTCGTAAGTTCAAATTTTACATGAAGTAGTATTTAAAAGAAAAATATTATTATCTTATCTGATAAAAGGAATATTAGTAGTAACACGCTATCTTAGACACATTTTTTTATTATTGATCAAAATTTATTAAAAAATTATAAAATTATTAAATAAAATGTTTGATTCACAAAAGAATTGTGATTTTCTCATTTGATAGATGTAAGAAACAAATAAGATAAGGAGTGGGAAAAAAGGTTTAGTATAAATTTTTCTTATTTGATCAGAGAGAAATAAAAAGATGCGATATCTACCCACCAAATTTTATTTTTATTTTTACATTTTTTTAAAATATTTTTATATTTATTTATAGTTTCATATTTTTAATACTGACAATTATTTAATAAATTTTATTTTTCTCTTATTTTATCATTCATATCAAATAAACCTTAAATTTTTCTTACCACTCTCATTTTATCCAAATTCATTGTATATAGTTTCTTTTTGTACATTCACTTTCTCAAACCAAACAAAACATATATGCAGATGAAATAAACTTATAAATTACTCTTCTGATCCCTTTTATTTAATTGACTCTTGTTGTTAAATGTTTCAATCAGATTCCTTGTTTTTTAAAAATATGCAATGTTGTCCTTTCTATTTAATTTAGATTAATGATTTTATTTCATTTTTTTGTTGTGTTGTGTGAAAAAAAGTTGATGTCAATAGTCTAAATTGAATCGAAAGGGTAACATTACATGGCTCTTAAAAATTAATGGATTAAATTGAACATTTTAAGAATGAAAGTATCAAATTGAAACTACTAATTAAAAGAGTAACAAAAAGAATCAAATTGAACCTATCAATTATCTATCTATACCCAAATGGTTGGTAGGCCCCTTAGATATTTTTCTCTATAAGATTAGGTGGGGTTTGTTAGTCTAAATGCAAGGGTGAAGGCGGTGGTTATCTTCAAATAATTTTTTTATTTAATTCAATGTCTAAACTAATAACACAATGGTATATGGAAAGATGTATTTACATGATGCCTTCACATATAGTTGATTTATAGGGCTCAAATACATGGGTAAGTCACAACAAATCATATGTGGATGATTTAATGCTAAGACACTTGACCATAGCCAAGAGGTAATCTCAAAAGGTGCAAGAACCTATGATAACAAAATATTATATGGTCCTTAACATGCTTGGTGTGACTAGGCAACAAGGACATGTTAAGCATAAAGATCTCCATCAGGGTGCAAACCATAATAACTTAGTGGGATTTTAGCGAGCCTTAGATGGCTTTCTCGACCTAATAAGAATTTGGGCATAAGTTTTTAATCTTAGTTTAATTTTATTGGGTTAGGCCTAATGATGTAAACCCGTAATAAAAGCCCTTATCTTGGTGCATCGATGAAGAAAATGGGAAAAGTTGACAAATATTTAAGTCGTTAAATAGGAGTTTATCTCTAATGGTTCAATTATTAGTTGCTTCAAGCATACTTGTAGTTTTAGGTTCAATCTCTTTTAGGATTACAATCCAAGTTCATTCACAATTATAAATTGAACACATTTAAACTTATGATCCATTTGTTCTCATAGTTAATAGTTAGGTTGCCTCTTTATCGATTTGAACATCTTAACAACCATAATCCAACCCCATAGTGAATTAAGGGGGTGGGTATGAAGATCTTGGAGACTTAAAAGAGTTTCTACATATGTTAAGAGATTAGTTAATTTGCTTGCTAAGTGACGACATTTATGGGACATGTGGCTAAAATTTATAGGTCACAATCCCTAGGTTTCACAACCTATTAAGGTAGATAATTGTGGTCATTTTATGTTACATTTGACAATCAATTCAAAAGGACAAATTTCAATACTTTAAATTTTCTTTGGTACCTTAAGCCTTCTTAATGTGTCTCTATTTTTCATTGATATAATTTATTCTCTCATTTTTCCTCGTCTTTTGAAGGATTAAACTCCTAAGAGTATTTGTTCTCATTTTCATCACATGCTTTACGATCTAAACTTATTGACAAGGTGAACATTCTTCCTTTATTTGAATTCCTCTTTTTGTGACTATTTTATGTGTTTTCTTTTTATCCTTTTCATCGATAGTTCCTATTATGCTTATGGTTTAACACTACTAGTAGAAAAAGTGAAAAGGGAAACCAAATGGTGGCATAGTAAAGGTGTTTGTGTCACCTTCTCCTCAACGTCTCCAACATGAAAAAAAAGGGAACCAACATTTCTCAACCTTATTAAGAAGCGTAAAGGTTTACCAAAAATGGGATAGGTTTGAGCGATCTTTATATACTAACAATATTAAATCAATGTAAGATTTTCCTTATTGGCCATATGGTTTTAAAAGTGCCTAAGAGTTGTAAGGCCTTATATGCTCACTTAAGCATCCCTTAAGTTTTAGCTTGGATGTTGACACATCCATGAACTTTGGAAGATTTAAGCTCTTCAACCTGGCACACCTAGGTTAAGGTAATGGTGATTCAATCCTTAAGATGATCAACATGACACACCTAGGTTAAGGTAATAGTGATGGAAGAGAAATGTTTAAGCCTTCAAATAAAAGAAACCAAAATATCCTCTAGCTCAATTAAACATTGATGATGTTAACATTTATTTTTTTTCTTCCAAACTTACCCTTCCCATAGGAAAACACATATTTTATTCTTCACATTTTCACCATCCACAATTCACTCCACATGCAAGTATTTGGTGACAAGCTAGAAGACAAATAGGGCCTTCGCCTTTTGCCATGCTCTCCCGATATCATAAACTTGGAAGGCTCTGAAGCAACCTCGTTGGTAGTATTGTCAATATTGCTTGTGGTATAGTGTTAATGAGACAACATTGCTGCAAATATCAAACTCATTACAAGTCCAACAAAAAATGACCTAATTTTAAGTTTTTGTACCTACACAATTTTTTTTATTTTTTTTTGTAGTTTTACATCACCAAAATGTTTTTCTAGTGTTAATTACAAGAACCAAAGCTTACTTTTATGCATATGCAAATACTAAAAGTTTAAAACATGAAATTAGGACAACTATAGAGACCAACTAAATAAACAATGCCATGTGGACAATGTAGATTGATTGGGAGAACATTTTTTCTAAAGCTAAAATGTACTCATGTTTTTATTAGAAAATTTTCTAGCTTCACTCAACAAACATATCCTTGTGCATAGCTCTTGGTAAATGTTCCACAATAACCTATTAGGTTTCTCTTTGGTCCATGGAAAGAACTCGAGGGCTACCAATGACTAGTATTGAATTGTATTAAGAACTTAAACTAGCAACCTCAAGAATAACAAAAGGAATAAGATGAAGCACTACGATGATAATCACGATCTCTAAGTAGAGTTGTTATAGTTATAATGATGATTCCATCAACACTTGCAATCCCACCTTAGAACAGAGCATATACATGGCCTTGCCTCAACTTCTTCGACTAATGTCAAATTGTTGTGTGTGAATGAATAAAAGGTAAGTTTGGAAAGAAAATAAATTTTAAAATGATAACACGTGTCACTATTTAATTGAGTTAGAGAATATTTCAATTTCTTTTATTTGAAGACTTAAGCATTTCTTATGAATCCTCAAGATGATTAATACAATTAAATTTTTGCAAAGGTAAAATATATGCGACCTAAAACTTCAATGTCTATTGAGAATGTTCAGGTGCCTTAACTAGGCATGGCAATCTAACCCGTCCCGTGGGTACCCGCCCGAACCCGCCCCGATTTGGATGGGGAAAACCCGTGTTTATCGGGTTCGGGTTTGGGTTTTCCCCGATTGATAAAATCAGGGGCGGGG